GTGTAAGGTTTTCGGCGAGGAAAGAAACATGCAGGAGGAGGTAAAGGTAAAGAAAGAAAAATGTAGTGGGGGACACTCCTGGGCAAACTTACTGGTCAGGATCAGAGAGGTTGCACAGAGTCTGGTTGTAGCAGGGTTTATATGACCGGGGTCAGCTTTCAGCACATAACTTGTTTTGTGAGTTTGAACAGTTTTGTGCTAGTGAAGAACGATTGGGACAGGTGGTGTATAATTGGGACAGGTGGTATATAAGAAAGTGGCTTTTCTTGGCTGCCTCTGCCCTCCAGTGGTCTGTCATTCTGGTGTCTTTGGTAATAGAGTGTCAATAGTTATCTGGCTATTTCCTGCTGGACAGGGGCATCATGGGGCTTTATGCCTGTTGTTTAGGACACCTGAGGGGTAGTCGGCAGGTGAGTGTACGGGTGGAGAAGAAGCTGACTAACTGCCCCTCTGGTCATTTCTCGGATGTGGCTCTGGATGAACTTTTTCAGCTATTAGAAGGTCCAAGACTAGATGGTTTTGGAGAGACACCTGTGCTAGGGAAGTAAGTTGGCGCTGGAGTGAGGCTAGAGATACCAAGATGGATTCCATGGCCACCTGGAGTTTACCTGAAAATTCCTGAGCTGAGACGAGGCTGTGTCCTAGGATGAAGAAACCTGTTGTACTACTTGGGAAATAAAGGCTGGGCTGTTAGCAGATTGAAGGGAAGAAGGAAGGCCAAAACGAGGAGTAATTTCTGAAAGTAAAAATAAGGTTACAACTCCTGCCGTCTCTTTGGGAGTTGGAAAGGCCTCAACCCACCCTGTGAGGGTGTCTGCCAGGGCAAGAAGTTACCTCATCCTTTTTGTGGGTGGGCATATGGGTGATATCAACCTGCCAGCCTTGTCCAGGCAAATAGCCCTGCACTTGGTGAGTTATAAAGGCTGGCCTGAGTTCTCCTTGAGGGGTGGTGGTGGAGCATGTAAAACATGCCCCACAGGCAGACTCTACTTTGGTGGAAAGCTGAGGGTGATAAAAGAAGGGCTTTAAAAACTGAACCAGTGCCTTGGGCCCAATATGAAGCGAGGCATGAACCTGTTGTATGAGGGTTATAGCCTGCCAGAGGCAAGGCCAACTTATTTCCCACAAAGATCCATCCCTGTTCTCCATGGATATCACCCTTCTCATAGAGAAGGTCTTTTTTCGGACAGGGAATACTGAGGGGTCAAGTCTGGGACCTGTAAATAAAGTGGGGGCCGGAGCTGCTGATTGTTGAGTGAGCTGGCATACCATTGCCTCAGCCTTATTGTTACCTTGGGAAACAAGGGAATCATTCATCTGATGTTCTTTATGATGGACGATAGCCACAGCAGATGAGTGGGAAAGGGTCTGAATTAGTTTTAAAATTAGGCAGGCATTAACAATAGGGTTCCCTTTTGTACATAGGAACCCCCGTTCTTCCCAGATTGCTGTGTGACAATGGGCAATGAGGAAGGCATACTTGGAGTCAGTAGAAATGGTTACCTTTTTTCCTTTTGCCAGGTGGAGGGCCCTAGTGAGGGCCACTAGTCCAGCTCTTTGGGATGTTGTTCCCTCCAGGAGGCGCTGGGCCTCTACCGTCTGCCCTTGGCTGGAGACAATATCATAGGAGGCCTGACTTTTTCCCTGTGAATCCACACCCTTACTTTTAAGGCAATTAATAACGGGCAACAGACCCTGGCGGTGTTTTACCAAGATGGGAAATTGAGATAGAACAAGGAAAGAGGAGGAGTAGATAAGAACAGGTTGATGGTGTGTTGCCACCACAGGGGAGGAGGTGTCCCATACAATGGGATCCACCAAATCAGGGGGGAGGGGAAAGGAGGAGGAAAAGGAGGGGAAAAGGGAAGAGGAGAAGGAGGAGGAAGAGGAGGAGGAGTGGGGGAGGCTCATTGGAGGGAATAGAACTAAAATTTGGCTGCTGGAGCCAAATTAGGAGGTGGCATGTGACTTAACAAGTAGATCTCCGCCAGGCGCTGGTGGCTCACGCCTGTAATCCTAGCTACTCAGGAGGCTGAGATCTGAGGATCATGGTTCAAAGCCAGCCCGGGCAGGAAAGACCGTGAGACTCCTATCTCCAATAAACCACCAGAAAACCGGAAGTGGCGCTGTAGCTCACGTGGTAGAGTGCTTGCCTTGAGCTGAAG